CTCCAGTGATTGTCACACCCGCTTTGCGACTGTGAACACCCTTCCTGAGGTAGAAAATGACCGTCTGGAGAATTCACCACATCAGTGTAGCAGTTCTCTGCTTTCCAAACCTGCTTCCGGTTCTGGAGTTCCGCAGCCCAGTCCTGCTGCAGAGGATCACGGCACCAGCAGGAGTGGGGTGAAACCGAACGGTGACGCATTAAAAGAAGCAAATAATAACCAACCACATCAGACTGTGGACTTGAAAGTTTCTATTCAGACTGAAATTTAGGCCCATGATGCTGCAGAGTAATAACACTCAACAGCCTTGTTTGGAGCTGGATGAGCCATGTGCGACTGTTAAGTTTAAGTTACCAGCAAAAGCCAGGTTCATAATCACAATGCATATACATTCTGTATGTTTAGCCGAGCATTGTTTCTTGTAGACGTTAATCACCAAATTATGAAACGGAGGCTTTAAGAGTGCATCATCATGAGAACGATAACTTAAGAAAAAATCGAGTTTTGTGTTCTTATCACAGAACACTGCTTGGTGCACACACCTGTGTATTTAGATAGAAATGTGGCTTAATTTATACTCATATGATACTAACGCTGTGCTACCACACTCTTAAGGAAAACCGTGGCTTGGAGAGAAGTGGTTAGTGACATTTTATTGAAACCACTAAGGGATGCTGTTTAGAAGAACTTGGCAGGCTTCTCTGTGTATGATCCTCTTTGTAACATTTCTCTTCATAACTGAGCTTAAATTTCATTTCTTTCTTCACACTCGATGTGGACATAAAGCTTAGTGCAGCCCATGGGTAACCATTTGGACACTTAGACACTTGAGCAGGATTGTGGCAGTCTTCGCACAACTTTGAGCTAGAAATACTTGGTACTGTTACATATCGCGTGTATTGTTGATGCCATTTTAGAAGAAAACGGTAAAAGTAGGTAACTAAGTATACTGACAACAAACAAGATATAGAACTACAAAATACAATCCCATTAGGACACAAGTATCACAAAAAGTCACCTTCCTCTACGGGAAGTTAGTGACTTTTGATTCTTGGTGCCTTTGGGAGAGACTGGGTTTTACAAGCCCAGTTATTTGAGGATTTTGCTGTATCATTTCCCATAATGTCTTCTCTATAGAAAAATACAGGAAATAGATAAACATGAATGTGATTATTAACTATACTGAAAAAGTATTCGCCTACCAAAGACACACTCAGGCTTTAGTAAATTTAATGTTACATAACCTCAGTTTTTAACCTATCTTTTCAAACCATGAAATCAAAGCAATGCAGAGCTTGCACCAAGCTTATACAAAAGGTCTGTGGCTTTGTTTCCTTTTGTTTATGGAGGATATTCAGCTGACACAAGCAGAAGTTGGCCCCAATACTGCCTGTACTATTAATTTCCCACGTAACTCTCCTGGCAGACTAACCTCATGGCCGTCAGATACCCACCTTCGGGTTTCTTTCAAGTGTTACCATTATGGTGCTACTGAGCATTTTCTTTTGATAAAGGAAAATGTCCCGGGCTGCAGTCTCTTACCCTCATTTTCCTCACTGCGTCCATTAATTTTGCTTATATAACACTAGTGCCAGTTATTTTATTTGATAATGGTTATTATGATATTTGTACATTTGTTTGCATTCCAGTTGTGTTCAGTAATGAGTGTGTAAACAGCATACATGAAATAAATGTAAATACTAATTAATTTGGTGTGTACATAGAAACTTTCACAAGAACACAATCCTCACATTGCTGTATTACTGGGAGTTCAGAATTGACAGGGCTAATCTGTATGTATGTAGAAAGAAGATTTATTGTGGTTCACAGGCTCGGCTAGTCCAACAATGGCTGTCTAACAACAGAGAGTCCAAGAATCCAGGAGCTGTTCAGTCTCAACTGGTCTTAAGTGTACACCAGAATCCCAAAGTAGACTGTGATGCTGATGTAGGAACGGACTTTGTGAATATGTTAAAAGTCAAAAACGAATGGGAAAGCCAGATATCTTTTAAGGAGTATAGCAGAAATGGTGTCATCTGAGATGCCAGTGTATCCCATCTGTCTTGTCCCTCCTCTGGGAGGGCCTCCCTGTTGTGCTTGCTTCCCTTACTGCTGGAACAAAAGGCAGCAAGAGCTCAAGGCAGCTGGTGTCTTTTTCCTCACTGCAACTCAGCTTGTGTTAACCCCACCCGGCGAGAATAAGACCACTGCCAGGATTAAAGCCAAATTTGAGGCGAGCTTTAGTTAAATAACTGGCCAGGTGGGTGGACTGGCCAGGTCCATTCCAGGGTTCCCAGAAATAAATGGTGACAAAGGCAAACCCACAAGGTTATGTGTTTCCCATCAGGTCCAGTTGGGCATGCAAGCACCCTGATGTGTCTCCTGCCTTCATCCCTCATGGGCAGAGCACAGCCTGACATGTCTCCTCCCGACATACCCTCCGCCTCCGTGTACACATGGGTCCATCCAGTATACATGGGTCAAACACACCCAGGACAAACAGGAACTTAAGTCTATTTCTTTTTAAATTCATATGCATTGGTGTTCTGTCTGCATTCTTATCTGTGAGGGTGTCGGATCCCCTGGAATTGGAGTTACAGCTGTGAGCTGCCGCGTGGGTGCTGAGAACCGCTGAGCCATCTATCTCTTCAGCCCAGGGACTTACTCTTTTCACTGTCTTCAGCGCAGACAGAAACCTTAACCTGCGAGGTATGTTTTTCCCAGTTTGAGGCTCGGATGCCAGGCCACAACACCAGTTTTGTCTCATCCTTACTTTCTCCTTTTTTACTTACTCCTGGCCCCCAGCCCACGAAGACCCACAGTGAAGGTGGGTCTTCACACTGGTCACCCTGCTGTAGATGGTCCCTCACGGTGTACCCAGAAGCCTGTCTCCTGGGAGGCTTCTGGGGTATCAGGTTGACATCAACACAGACTTTGCAGGGAGAGCTTCAAAAGTGCCTTTGTCTCCAGCTGCAGATTGGATTAATTCATGTAGGACAGTAAACTTGAGGGGACCAGATCTGATTCCTCCAGGGTTCAAGTGAAAACCATCCTACTTCATTTAATTATTTTTTTATTTTTTTTATTTTGTGTACTGAAGTGTTTTGCCTGCAGGTATATTTGTGCTGTCAGAGGCCAGAAGAGGGTGTCACATCCCCGGGACTGGAGTTACAGGTGGGTTGGTTTTTATCTTTCGGTTTTTGGTTGGTTGGTTGGTTTGGGTTTGAGTTTGGTTTTGTTGAGATTTTTTTTCTGTATTTCCTTATTGCTCTGTTGTCTCTCTTCTGCAAACTTGCTTTGTAAGTACTTGTGTTTTACTCCTTATAAGGGACCCAAGATATGGACTTGGGGCTGCTCTCTTTAACCCAACTTAGCTCTTGTGTGCACCCCAATAAAACCAAGCTCACTTCAAATTTGGCTGAAAGTTGTGGTAGTGGTCTTACTCTCGCCCAGCCCAGTGGGTGGACACTGTGACCCCCCACGTGGGTGCTGCGGGTTAAACCACACCCTCTAGAAGAGCAGCCAGTGCTTTCAGCCACTTAGCATTGCTCCAGCCGTAGCTTTTGAGGATTAGGACAAAGGTCACGTGGGAGTCAGAGTACAAAGATTACAATAGCATGCCTTATAGTTGGCCATACAGAATGCTGTGTAAGCTGGACTCTCTGAATGTTCAATTTTTCAGCTTCAGAGCACAAAATCAGTTTGTTTTGTTAAATTTGCTTAATTTATCAGTCTTTCTGCTTGTTTGTTTGAGACAGGTTTTTTTCTGTGTAGATCCACCTGCCTCTGCCTCTGCCTCTGCCTCTGCCTCTGCCTCCTGGGTGCTAGGATTAAAGTCATGCACCACCACCCCCAGCTCATAATTTACCAATCTTATTTGTGCTGGAGGGTGGGGTAATTTATAAACATCTAAAACCTGACATCATATATTATTTAGGTAGAGACTTGGATCACTAAAGGTTATGTTTAAAGGTTATGTTAAAAGCTGTGTACTTACTGCTTCCTACATAACAGGACCAGAACGAGAAATGTTGCTCCATGGATTATTTTGCCTTTCTTGTTTCCTTACCTATTCAAAAAGCACATGTGTGTGTCTTTCATCTCTCTCATTTAGGTGAATCTCATTGCCAAGAGTTAGTGTTCACATAGTGCTTGACTTTGACCGTAGCCATTGGTTAATAGGTAAATAAAACTGCATACATGTCCTTCGGAGTTAGGAAGGGATCTGCGGCGAGAAACCGATCAATTAGTGGGATCTTAGAGCTGGACGTCTTATAGGTAGGCAAGTCTTGTTTTTCTCAAAATGTTTTGACTATTGTTGGCATTTTACATTTCCATAAGCAGTTTAGAATGACCATCAAGTTCTAAAACGACGAGTTCTGCCGGCGTCTGCCTTGAGTTTGCAGCTGTCTGTAATGTCCTCACTGTCTTGTTTGCAGGTACCATTGTTACAGGGTTAACCTTTTTAAAATGGCATTTCCTGTTTGTAACTCATGGTAGAGAAAAGTACCTGATTCTTGAATAATTTTGTTTGAGGAATCTCATTCTTTTCATTCTAATAGTTCCTAGTTTCCTTGGAAAGTATGCATATAAATTGTGAATATTTTTTAAGATTTTATTTATTTATTTTGTATACAACACTCTGCTTCCATGTATATCTGCACACCAGAAGAGGGCACCAGATCTCATAACGGATGGCTGTGAGCCACCATGTGGTTGCTGGGAATTGAACTCAGGACCTCTGGAAGAGCAGTCGGTGCTCTTAACCTCTGAACCGTCTCTCCAGCCCCTGTGAATATTTTTATTAAAAAAAAAAAAACAAAAAAAACTTTATAGCCTGGCAGTCAAGCCTTGCTATTTATTGATGTGTGTGGGTGTTGCATATATTAGATGTCTTGTCTTTTTAGACATTATCTACATAGAGACAGCTGTACGTCCCCTTTCTAGTCTGGACGCCTTTTGTAAACTCGTTTGGCCTGTTGGACTGACTTCAGCCTCCAGTGTGAAATAGGAATGTAAGAGTGGACACCCTACGTTTTCAATCATAGCTATCTACCCCTCCACTTTCCTTGACTGTTACTCCCCTCAGTAATTTCCCCAAAAGCTCAAACTGTTGGCCTTTTAGAACAGGTCAGAGGATCTTAGGGTGTACCTCGTTCTCAACTACCTAGGCAGCTATCTCCCTCTTTCCATATATAGTTACAAATATAATTTGCTTTTGTTTTTCTCCCTTCTTGGGGGGGGGGTTGAGACTTACTGTGAAATCCACCTTTTAAAGTGTATGATTCAGTAGTTCACTCCATTCAAAGGGTTTGTACAACCATTGTCACTAATTCCACAACATTTTCATCTCCCAGTAGCCGTCCCCCTTGCCTTTTCTTAGTTCCTGCCGACTTCAGACTTGCCTACAGTTTCTGAATCTGGCCGTGTGCACATTTCGTCTGTGCAGACTCACGGAATTTGCCTGCGTCGTGAAGCTTTGATTCTGCACAGCATCCATCCTCTGGTGTGGCCGTAACGTCCATTCACATGTTCATCTGCTTTTTTACTATAATGATGTTCCTGTCAATTTTTGTGAGCTTCTATATGAGCATATATCTTGTTTTCTTGGCCCTAGGTGTTAAAGTTTCTGGGAAACTGACAGTCCACCTTCTATTACCAGCAGCACTGTGTGAGCCCAACTCCACACTTGCCAGTACGTTCTTTTTTGTTGGCATTTTAGTAAACCCTTGTGTAGTACAAGACGGGCCGGGCTGAAACACTACCGACTGAATAAGCTGCCAGCACATCACTCAGTTGTAGGAAGGAGTCATTCCTCCTACACAGACTAAAGTACTGACCTAACATAGACAAAGTGACGTTGAGTATCTAAAACTATTTAAACCCCAAGGAAAGAATAGGTGATCAAGATGCTGTGTCTGGCTCCTTCCTGCCAGTCACATGTGTGGTGGCAGTGATGGGTTGTTGTGACACTGAAATTCTGCATCAAAACAATTTAATCCTCGGGTATTTTTAAGGTTTTATTTATTATGTATACAACATTCTGCTTCCATGTATATCTGCAGGCCAGAAGAGGGCACCAGATCTCATTACAGATGGTTGTGAGCCACCATGGGGTTGCTGGGAATTGAACTCAGGTCCTCTGGAAGAGCAGCCAAGGCTCTTGACCTCTGAGCCATCTCTCCAGCCCCTTCTCAGGTATTTCTCATGGACTTAGCGTTTACACCTTGTCCCCTTTAGTCCCTGGGTGCCTTAAACACCACGTTGGCATTTTTATTCTATTAGAGAGCCTCATATTTGATGTCAGTTCATTTAGGGTCATCACCTCTGGTGCTTTCCTGTGAGGTTCACAGTTCAGTTCCCCTCTGTATCAGTCAGTTACTCCACACGTGGACTGGCGGTACGTTCCAGCTGTCTGGGAGTGTACAAGAGCTACCTGTGGCTGGTTCCCACATGACTGTGCAGGCACTCCACAAATGGGTTAGAGTTCTTCTCTATAACAGGAGCTTCTCTTCTAGATCAGTAGCTGGCACTCGGCGTCCTGCGCCTTGGGGAAAGTGCAGCTGCTCCTGAGGGCTCTCACAGGACTGCGTCCCAGGAAGGGGGTGCCAGAGCTCCAGCCAGCTTCTTGTCTGGAGAGTGGGTATATCCTATGTGCTAGCCTGTGCTAGCCTCTGCAGAGCGTTCAGAGGTGGGTGGTGTTATCTC